GTCCCTCACTATTATTGTATTGCAGTCTATCTCTCTCTTTAGATCTAATAATATTTGCTTTACATATTTTGGTGCTTCAATGTTGGGTGCATATATATTTACACTTGTAATATAATCTCATTGAATTAATTTCTCTCTCATTATATAATGGCCTTCTTTGTTTCTTTTTATTGTTTTTGACTTAAAGTCTATTTTATCTGATAAAAGTATAGTCACTCCTGCTCACTTTTGGTTTCTGTTTGCATTTTTTCTATCCCTTTCAGTCTGTCTTTAATGATAGGGTAGGTCTCTTGTAGGCAACATATAATTAGGTCTTGTTTCTTAAAATCCAGTCAGCCACTGTATATCTTTTAATTGCAGAATGTAATTCATTTACATTAAAGATTGTTACTGAGTAAGGACTTACTCCTGCCATTTTGTTGACAATTTTCTGGTTGTTTTATAGATCTTTTGTGCTTTTATTTCTCTCTTGTTTTCCTCTGTGATGTGGTGATTTTCTGTGGCACTAAACTTTGTTTTCTTTGTCTTTCTTATTTGTGTATCTACTGTAATTTGTTTCTTTGTGGTTACCACGGGGCTAACATAAAGAGTCCTATAGTTATAATAGACTATTAAGCTGATAACAACTTAATTTTAGTCACATAAAAATCCTCCAGAGGGCCGGGTGTGGTGGCTCACGCCTGTAATCCCAGCACTTTGGGAGGTTGATGTGGGCAGATCACGAGGTCAGAAGTTTGAGACCAGTCTGACCAATACGGTGAAACCCCATCTCTACTAAAAATAAAAAAATGAGCTGGGTGCAGTCGTGTGTACCTGTAATCCCAGCTACTCAGGAGGCTGAGGCAGGAGAATCACTTGAACCTGGGAGGCAGATGTTGCAGTGAGCTGAACTTGCACCACTGCACTCCAGTCTGGGCAACAGAGCAAGACTCCATCTCAAAAAAAAAAAAAAAAAAAGAATCCTCCAGACTCCACACACACACACACACAATTTGTATTTTGTTAGCCTTACTTTGCATGTTGGTCTTTTGCAGGTTGCTTAGCCGCTAATTGTAGTTGTTGATGTTTTTGACCTTTTTGACTTTAAACCATCATACTAGAGGATTTAAAGATTTACACAGTGCCATTACGGCATTGGGGTATTCTGAGTATAAGTATGGATTTACATATACTGGTGAGCTTTATACTTTCATATGTTTTCATGATAGTAATTATCATCCTTTCGTTTCCAGTTGTAGTACTCTCTTTAGCATTTTTTTTTTTTTTTTTTGGTCACACCTATTTGTGATGAATTCTCTCCATTTTTACTTATCTGGGAAGGTCTCTACTTCTCTTTCATTTCTAAAGGAGAGCTTTGCAGGATATAGTTCACTTAATGGTGTCTCATAAGTCTTGTAGAGTTCTTCATTCTTTGTAACTTCTTTTTTGTCTCTGACTGGGTTATTTCTAAACACCTGTCTTCAAGTTTAGAAATTCTTTCTTCTACTTGATCTAGTGTGTTGTTGAAGCCTTCAGTTATTTTTGTTTCATTCATTGAATTCTTCAGTTCCAAGGCATTTTTTCCTCTATTTTTATTGATATACAACATTTGTAAATATTTATAGGGTACATGTGGTATCTTGATAAATGAATATAGTGTGCAATAATCAATTCAAGATATTTAATATACCCATTACTTTAAACATTTATTATTTCTTTGTGTTGGGAACATTTCAAATTCTTCAGCTCCAAGATTCTGTTCCCTCTTTTTTTATTGATACATAACATTTGTAAATATTTGTGGGGTATGCGACATTTTGATAAATTCATACAATGTGTAGTGATCAATTCATGGTATTTAGGATATCTATCACCTTAAACATTTATTATCTCTTTGTGTTGAGGACATTTCAAGTCTTCTAGCTACTTTGAAATGTATAATATATATGCAATATTTTGAATATACAACAAATTGTTGACTATAGTCACTCTACTGTTCTATCAAACACTAGAACTTATTTCTTCTATGTAACTATATTTTTGTACCCATTAACCAACCTTTCTTCACCTACCTCCCACCCTTTCTAGCCTCTGGTAATTATCATTCTACTCTCTCCCTCCACAAAATTAACATTTTAAGCTCTCACATATGAGTGAGAACATGCGATATTTGTCTTTCTGTACCTGGCTTTATTCACTTAACATAGTGATCGTTGGTTTCATCCATGTTGCTGCAAATAATAAAATTTCATTCTTTTTTTGGCTGAATAGCATTCCATTGCATATATATACACCACATTTTCTTTACCTAATCATCCAAGATATGGTTGATTCCATATCTTGACTATTATAAATGGTGCTGCAATAAACATGAGGGTGCAGGTAACCCTTTGATATACTGATTTTATTTGGGTAAATACCCAGTAGTGGGACTGCTGGATCATATGGTAGTTCTACTCATTTTTTGAGAAACATCCATACTGTTTTCCATAATGAATATGTTAATTTATGTTCTCACCAACAGTAAATTTCCTTTCCTCTGTCTCTGTACCAGCATTTGTTATCTTTTTTGTCTTTTTGATAATACCAGTACTAACTGGGGTAAGAAGATACCTCACTGTGGTTTTGATTTGCATTTCCCTGATGATTAGTGATGCTGAACATTTTTTCCTGTACTCACTGGCCATTTGTGTGTCTTCTTTTGGGAAATGTCTATTCAGATCTTTTGCTCATTTTTTAATGGGATTGTTTGTTTCAGCTCCAAGATTTCTGTTTTGTTCTTTCTTTTTTTGAGACAGGGTCTCACTTTGTTGCCCAGGCTTGAATGCAGTGGTGCGATCATGGCTCACTGCAACCTCAATCTTTAGGGCTCAAGTGATCCTCCCACCTCAGCATCCTGAGTAGCTGGAACTACAGATATGCATTACTACATCCAGCTAATTAAAACAAAAATTTTTTATAGCGATATTGTTTCACTCTGTTGCCCAATTTGGTCTTGAACTCCTGACCACAGGTGGTCTTCCTGCCTCAGCCTCTCAATGTTGGGATTACAGGCATAAGCCACTGCACCCAGCCCTGGTTCTTTTAAAACATCTATTTCTTTGTGAAATTCCTCATTCAGATCATATTTTTTTTGTTTTATTGAATTATTTGTATTATTTGATATATTCTTGAATTTCTTTAAGATTATTATTTTGAATTCCTTTTTAGGCATTTCATAAATATCCTTTTCTTTGGCATCTGTTACTGGAGGCTTATTGTTTCTCCGAGGGTGTCACATTTATCTGCTTTTTCTTGTGTCCCTATGTTGATATCTACACACTTCGTGGAACAGTTACTTTTTTTAATTTTATGGAACAACTTTTATAGAATGAGGCTTTTCCCTGTAGATGGGCCATGGGCTGTCAGTTGGGAATGGTGCACTGGTTTTGGTTCTAAGTGGACTGAGTCAAGTGGTCTCCATACAGATTATTTAGCTATGACCTTTGTCGGCAATGTCTGCAATTGTGTCAGTGGCCTTGGCTATGGGAGTTTTTGACAAAGGTAACATAATGTTTCTGGGGCCTAGGGCATAGAGGTGGTTGTTGGGCCAGGTATCTGCAGGTGTGGTGGGTTGACAGGCTGTGTAGTGGGCTCTCTTGGAGGATGGGCCCCCCACTGGGCTGACTCTCGGGGTAGTTGTGAGTGTAGCATGCCAGGTGGCTGTGAGGGGCTTTCTCTGTGCGATGGGACCACCTCTGAGCCAGCTCTTGGTCTGGGAGTAGGCTGACTGCCCGTGCAGGGCAGTAGCCCCAATTTCTATTAGTGGTTTCATGCAGTTTTAGAAAGTCTTCACAGGGTGGAGCATATGACCTAGACTAAACCAATCATAACATTTTATTCCTTCAGCTACAGTGATTGATTCGGGGATGGGTTTGTGACCTAAGCTTGCCCAGTCAGAAGGAATCTTAGGATTCTTACAGAGATTGCTGAGTCAGACATGCTCTTTTGCTATGGAAAGTATAGCGTGTGCATGCGAAAATTGGAACCATGAATATCATCTTTCTATGATGAAGGAAACCTGGCTGAGAATGAAGCTGACATAAGGAAGTAAAAAAAAAAAAAAAAAAAAAAAAAAAAGGTACAATGATAGACAAACAGAATGAGAGTCTTGATCAAATTACGCCTAAAATCTGTTACTTTTTGTGTTCTTCATATTTGTGAACCAATATGTTGCCTGTGTTGTTTGCTATTACTTTTTGGCCCTTATATTCTAAGTCAGGCTTGGGATGGATTTTCTTATTTGCAGCCAATTATATCCTAATTGAAAGAGACGTCCTGATATGGTTTGGTTCTGTTTTCCCACGCAAATCTCATCTCCAGTTGTAGTCCCCACATGTCAAGTGGTGGAGGTGATTGGATTATGGGGACGGTTTCCCACATGTCGTTCTTGTGATAGTGAGTTCTCACGAGATCTGATGGTTTAAAAGTGTGGCACTTCCCCCTTCACTCTCTCCCTCCTGCCACCATGTAAGACATGCCTTGTTTCCCCTTCATCTTCCACCATAATTGAAAGTTTCCTGAGGCCTCTCCACACCATGAGGAGCTGTGAGTCAATTAAACCTCTTTTCTTTATAAGTTACCCAGTCTCAGAGAGTTCTTTATAGCAGTGTGGAAATGAACTAATACACGTCGCTTCACCTTCTACTACATATAGAGCTAACAACAACAAAAAGAGGAAAGTACTTTGATAGCTCTTCTGAAGGAAGGTAGAGTTACAGATTGAATCAGAGATATCATTTCCTCTGTGATCCTTCCCTGATGTCCCCAGATCTGGGCAAAGAGCCTTCCTTGGTATTCCCATAGCTCCTTTTCATTCTTTTCTCTTATAGGAAAGGGAGTCTTTAGCATAATACGTCATTGCAATTATGATATGAGAGCCAATCAGTATCAGCTAGAAGTTTGCTTATCTTGTGTTCAGTTCATTCTGAGGAAGTTACGAGAATTACCATGAAGAAAGGTATCTGCCATTTTTCTTTCAGGATGAAGCCAGGAATAACAAAACCATGCCTTTGACCATGGAAGGAGCTGAAAGGATGGAGTCAAGGCCTTGAGGAGACAACAGAGAGGCAACCAAAAGAAGATGGCAGGCAGCCAGAAGAAGGCACATTCCTAGGTACCCATTTGAGGGAATCCAATGGGGGAAAGTAAAGAAATCTGGATGTTTTAAGTGTGGTGATCAGATTATGCTCTTTCTGGCCAAGGAACAGGACAAGGCCATTCAAGTGCAGAACAAAATGGTGGGTTTGCATTTGTTTGCTGTCAATCTCCCTTATCAGGTCAACTCCATGAGGACAAAGATCATAATGGCTTGGTCACCATTATCTCCCCACAGCATAGCACAATGCCTGGGACATATACTCTATAAATATTTGTGGGATGGATGGATGGTTGGTTGGTAACTCTCAGTTTATATCTTTGGGCTGAGTATTATAGTTAACAACACAATTTCCCAGAGTGACTCAGTTAAAGTTGAGCTTCTTTTATGCAAACTCTCCTTCCCTGTCCTTCACTGAATTTCACTGACAGACCATGAAAACTCAGAATAGAAGGGGATAATGTTGAGGCAAATCCTATAATGTCAAGGCAAATCCTATCCCCCATCTAGAGGCCAGGGAAGGAAAATAATCACTTTGCTAAAGTCTGGAGTTCTAGTTCCTCTGCCTGATGGTTGATTTAAGGTCAACCTCTGCTTGACTTAAGGTCATGGTGTATTATTTTTTTAACATCTTCTTTATGGGCCACGCTCATGAAAATGCCCAAACATAAGAGAAAGATGATACCTTATTCTCTTGCTCCACATGTACATTCAACATTCATTTAAACTGTGATTCAGTGAGCATCTACTATGTGCCATGCCCTGGACTCAGCCTTGGAGATAGAATGAAGAACAAGACACAGCCTCTATTCTTACCTAGTTTTTAATCTAGTGGGGGATGACAAGCCAATGATGATAATATAGCACAAGATGCCGAGAGGCAGAGGTTGCGGTAAGTACCCACAGAGGAACATTGAAGTCAGCTGGTGGGATTGAGAAGAACTTCCTGGAAGAAGTTTTGCCTAAGCTAAGCACATGGAAAAGCACTGGCCAGGTGAAATTGGTACAAAGGAAAGGAATGTTTCAGGAGGAAAGTGGGAATGGTGATTGGAGGGTGATGGCGCCAGAGTGAAGAGCTGGGGTCAAGCATTTTAGGGCCTTCTAAGTCATGCTTAGCATTTCAGACATCCTAAGAGCAGTGTGTGCTGGAGTCACTGGGAAGTTTTAATATGGGAATAATATCACATATGGCCCATAGAAACTTCCTCTGGGGCAGTGTGGAAGGGAGATAGGAGAGGTCAAGGTTGGAAATGAGGACACCAGTTTGACGGGTATTTTAACATAAGCACAAGCACTCACTAGGGTCCAAGCATATGTGCTCGATCACTCACTCACTCTCTCTCTCTTTCTCTCCCTCTCTCCTTCTCTCTCTCTCTCTCACACACACACACACACACCCCAAAGATATATGCAAACAGCACCAAACTATGCCCACCACTGGGATTAGAAAACAATGTCTTAAGCTGCTCCATTTCCTAATGCCTTAATTTTCTCATCTGTAGAATGGGAACAGCTGCAACTGTCCCTCAGTGTCTCCCAGGATTGCTCAGAGAGTGGAAATGTCATATGGTGAAAGCCTTTACAGCTCAGTGTGGATAAGTGCAAAGGGTTGTTTCTTCCTGGCCCCTTTTCATTTCATCCAGTCCTTCAATTCCCGGCATCTGAAGCATCTCTGGGAATTGCATATGGAATAAGACATTCTGGATGGGCCAGCAGATCTTCAGAAAGTCAGGTTTTAATTAGATTTCCACTCAATCTCAAAGTCCCCTACTCTAGTAGGGAAATTGAGGTCTTACCTCTAGACACTATAACTGAGAAACTATAAAATTGGCTGGAGACTCCCAGGCAAGGGTAGGAAGCCCTCTGGCTTGGGACTCTTTTGAACGGATGATTCCACTGATTGGAGAGTGTTCACACTCTTGGCTGTGGAGTACCTGTGTGAGTCTCCTAGGGCTTCTTAACAAACTGACACAGACTAGGTAGCTGAAACAACAAAAATGTATTTCTTATTCCGGAGGTGTCTCCTCACTTTATAATCTAGTCGGGGATGACAAGCCAATGTTGATAATATAGCACAAGATGCAGAGAGGCAGAGGTGACGGTAGGGACCCACAGAGGAACATCAAGGTAGTAGCAGGATTGGTTCCTTCTGAGGCTGCCCTACTTGGCTGTCATCTCAGTGTGTTCTCACATGGTCTTCCCTCTGAGCATATCTGTGTCCTAAGTTCCTCTTCTTATAAGGACACTAGTCATAGTGTCCACCCTGGTGACCTCATTTTTTCTTATTTAGCCCTTTAAAGACCCCATCTCAAGTACAGTCACATGTGAGGTGCTAGGGGAATTTTGGCAGGAGTGGGGAACAAAATTCAGCCCATAATAATTCTCAAATGGTCTATTTAGATAGTGGATATAAACAAACAGTGAGGAAACCCAAAGACTGTACACATTGCTTCTGAAGTTTATCCTCAGACGAAGAGTCCTCAATTGAATAGATTTGCTGTCATCTCAGTTGTGGCAACATCCACATTTTCCTGTTCTTTATCTCAGCTCCGAGGTGCTGCTGCAGAAAGGAGCTGGTCTACCTTCAGTTCTCTCCTTCTTTACCACTTTGCAGAACAAGTTTTGCTATGGCAACCACTGCTGGGAAGAGATAACCTGGGGGGTGCCAGGGTCAGCTCATGTTCTTCTCTCCTCATTTCTTGGACAGCTCTGTTGTGTTTCAGCTGCTGGGTAAATCCCCAGAGAGGAGCTTTTTGCTAATAATTTTGTGTGTGTGTATATGTGTGTGAGTGTGCACCTGCATGCATACATGTGCATGTACGTGTGCGTGTGTGCCTGTGTGTGTGTGTCTGTGTGTGTGTGTGTGCATGTGTCTGGGCAAAGTGGTACTTTCAAGAAAGTAGCCAAATAGAAGATAGGATCACCCTGGCGAGGGAAGCCATTCATTCATTGACCAATGGGTCACACTTGGATTTTCTGTCTCAGACCAACCCATGTTCTAGTGACTGTGCAACCCTTGGCAGTTTTTAACACGTTCCTCCTGCCTTCCCAGCAGATGGGAATCCTATTCTGCAGACTTCAAATCCTCCTGATTCTCTCTCCTCCAGGTTTTGAAGGCAGATTTCATCTATTATGCCTCTGGGGCTTTGGTGTTTGGGCCATTCATAGCTACTCCCTGAGTCATCTGCCTGAAAGCCATCTTCAGTGTCCCCTGGGCCTCGAAGACTGTGGGAGGCAGTGTTTGTGGATGAGAGAGGGGCATTCAGAACAGAGATCTGTTAAAGTCTCCCAGCACAACTCAGGTCCTCCACCTTGGGGGCTGTCTCGGGTGGTCCCAAGCATCCTAAAGCCTCTGGAATCTGCCCTGAACATCTGGATTTCCTGCTAGGGTCTTCAGTTTGCCCAGTGATGTGTCCATGGCCAGCTTTGTGCAAAGTTTGCCGTTCCAGCTCAGTTGCTCTGCTGCAGTTTACGAAACTTGCTAGTGGACAGACACAGCCTTGAGCAGTCCCTGTGGCTTCTCAGGGTGTCTGTCAAAGATGTGCACACAGAATTCAACAAAGTTCCAGTTCCTCCTTTAGGAGGATAGTAATTTTGTGTGTGTGTATGTGCGTGCATGCATGCATGTGTGTGTGTGTGTGTGTGCATGCACGTGTGTGCGTGCATGTGTGCGTGTGTGTGTGTGGCTGGGCAAAATGGTACCTTCAAGAAGGTAGCCAAAGAGCCAAATCAGGAATGAACTTCCATTCACAATTGCTTCAAAGAGAATAAAATACCTAGGAATCCAACTTACAAGGGATGTAAAGGACCTCTTCAAGGAGAACTACAAACCACTGCTCAGTGAAATAAAAGAGGACACAAACAAATGGAAGAACATACCATGCTCATGGATAGGAAGAATCAATATCATGAAAATGACCATACTGCCCAAGGTAATTTATAGATTCAATGCCATCCCCATCAAGCTACCAATGAGCTTCTTCACAGAATTGGAAAAAACTGCTTTAAAGTTCATATGGAACCAAAAAAGAGCCCGCATCTCCAAGACAATCCTAAGTCAAAAGAACAAAGCTGGAGGCATCACGCTACCTGACTTCAAACTATACTACAAGGCTACAGTAACCAAAACAGCATGGTACTGGTACCAAAACAGAGATATAGACCAATGGAACAGAACAGAGTCCTCAGAAATAATACCACACATCTACAGCCATCTGATCTTTGACAAACCTGAGAGAAACAAGAAATGGGGAAAGGATTCCCTATTTAATAAATGGTGCTGGGAAAATTGGCTAGCCATAAGTAGAAAGCTGAAACTGGATCCTTTCCTTACTCCTTATACGAAAATTAATTCAAGATGGATTAGAGACTTAAATGTTAGACCTAATACCATAAAAATCCTACAGGAAAACCTAGGTAGTACCATTCAGGACATAGGCATGGGCAAAGACTTCATGTCTAAAACACCAAAAGCAATGGCAGCAAAAGCCAAAATTGACAAATGGGATCTCATTAAACTAAAGAGCTTCTGCACAGCAAAAGAAACTACCATCAGAGTGAACAGGCAACCTACAGAATGGGAGAAAATTTTTGCAATCTACTCATCTGACAAAGGGTTAATATCCAGAACCTACAAAGAACTCAAACAAATTTACAAGAAAAAAACAAACAACCCCATCAAAAAGTGGGCAAAGGATATGAACAGACATTTCTCAAAAGAAGACATTCATACAGCCAACAGACACATGAAAAAATGCTCATCATCACTGGCCATCAGAGAAATGCAAATCAAAACCACAATGAGATACCATCTCACACCAGTTAGAATGGCGATCATTCAAAAGTCAGGAAACAACAGGTGCTGGAGAGGATGTGGAGAAATAGGAACACTTTTACACTGTTGGTGGGATTGTAAACTAGTTCAACCATTATGGAAAACAGTATGGCGATTCCTCAAGGATCTAGAACTAGATGTACCATATGACCCAGCCATCCCATTACTGGGTATATACCCAAAG